ATAAAAAGATTTATTTCTAAACAAATTAAACAAGACTAATTGTAAACACTATGTGATGATGAACTAAGGTGGAGTGAGACTGAGGATGGTGTGTGTGTGTGAAATATGTCCAGAACCAGCAGATCCGGAGAAACGATTAGTTCTGATGGGACTGAGATGGTGTTTCGCTCTAAGCTTTGGTTTGGAGATTATAAGACACATTGAGACGCCATCTGTCGGTCAGTGTACCCCAACGGAAGTCCCCGTTTAGATCAGGAGGTGTCGAGGTCCAGCTCAGACCTTGTCTGGAACCGAAGCCTGTAGATATGCAGCGGTTGCCGACCCTTCCAGTCTTGAGTTACTCCCAGGTCACGACCGTTTATTGGCATCAGCGAGACCCTGAAGGGGTCGTGATGGTTCAGCTTTTATTCTGAAGGAACCGTTGCAGCAGGTGGATTAATCCAGCTTGTCTCTGGTTCTTTCAGCTTTAAGAGGAAAGTTACGGAGTGGCCACTCCGATAACTTCTCTAGAACGCTTGGAACTGAAGTTAAGATGACGTGGGGCATAGTTTTATGATTTGGATGTTTTGATTTACTGTCGAATCAGAATTTGCCAACAAAAGGGGATTATACAAGCACCAACAAAACCACGCCTAGCGTCAGATCTGGAAGGTTCTGATTGGATCAGAAAAAGGAAATGTGTCATGTGATTTTAACATTACGTGTGATCAGTCTAGAGTAAATATTTAAAGTTATATTACTTATTAAAATACTATCATAGGATTATAATATCAAGTAATTAATACTCTTATTTCACAGACTGATTGAACATTAGCTTCACATGATTATTTGGACTAACAGACATTATTTAATTATTATTTAATAGAGTACTTGGTCTTCTTTCTTCTTTCTTGTGCTGTCCGAGGAAGCAACAGTTTAGATAACAGCACAGAGCACGAGTGGCCTTGGCCCATGTCATGCAGATTTGGCTTGTGTCAGAAACTTGTGGTTTTGCTTGGGCAGAGCAAATAGAGCAGGGCCTTTAGGTCAGAAATGGACAATTCATCACGCTACAGGGGAGTGAGGGGAGATAGTGAGCCGGGGTAGATCCAAGAGGGGAGTGTTCAGAGCTGGAGAGGAAGCGTGGGGTCGAGAGAGAGAGGGTCGGTCAGGACGGATGGATGATGAACGTTGCAGAGCGAGACGGTCCGGAGTCCTGTGGAGTTGGGTGAGTAATCCTGATGTATCGAGAACCTGAGTGGGGTGAGCCAAAAATACAAAAATCACACGAGACCAAAAATACACTAGAGTAATCCGAAAAACCTGGAGACTAGAACGAGGGCTGGAAACTACCAAGCAGCAGCAATCCTCCGGCGTCGAGCTGTGTTCACCATCCCTCTTAAGTAGTCAACCCGCTGATGAGCAGATAAGGTGCATCTGCCGCTCCCTCTCCTGCAAACACACTCAGATATGTTGATGAAGAGAGAGTACTCACCCTGGCTCACGACACTGGATTACTGAAATAAACGAACATTTGCACCACATTCTAATATTTCCAGTTTCACCTGTACGATAATTAAAATGAATCCTGATCAGAGTGCTCATTGAGACTGTTCCATCTGCCACTCATGCATTTGAATTGTGAATTCTTTCTGCAGAGACAGAAAAAAAAGTAGCTGAGTTTTAGGAAAATGACAATTCCTCTCAGATGTTCTCCCTGCAGGAGTGGTCAGCCGGACCAGAGCCCCATCAGAGAGCTTCAAACGGTTCCTCCTGACAGGTTTTGGAGAGGTTCGTGGCTGCGTGCTCGGCCACAGCGCTCCAGCCTTCTGTCTTTTTCAGTTGAAGAGAAAGTTTCTTCTAACATGAAGAAACTGGCAGCCATAGCAACAAAACCTAGACATCCTTAGCAACAGTGAAATATTGTTTGACCCCACCCCCCTCCCCTCTGCTTCACATCGTTCTATTAATGGAGCCTAACATGACTTGGGACTCAAACACGCACACCCTTTTCTGTGAAATATCTCCTTCCCAATTAAGACTTCCTGCTGCTGGCACCTTTGTGACCCCTTTGGGACGGAGTACGGGGGTAATTAAATGCCAGAAAGCATCAGGGTGAGTGGGGTGTGCAATTAAACATGTTTTCACATAGAGAAAATGTTAAAAGCCATGTTTTGATCTTGAAGGTTTAGATATTAACTAGATCATTTGCACTGGCTCTGCAGCAGATTTGTCCCCAACATCAGACACTCAAGTTTCTCTAATAATTAATAATAATAATAATAATAATAATAATCTAATAATGAGCACCTGGAATGGCAGCTCTCGTGGTCCTCCTGTATCTGTTTTTGTGCTACATGTTTTGTGTGTGTGTAACCTTGGTCAGGCTGTACTGCCGAGTCAAATTTCTACGCTTCGGGACGCTGGAGCACTGACAGTAAAGCTGATTCTGACTCTGATTCAATTAGCACAGATATTAATGCTCACTTCACCAGCTTTATAAAAATCTGTTTTCAGATTAAAAGAATTAAAAAAAATCTATGACGCATAGCTCCACATGAACCGTATTTCTATTAGATTTATCTCAAGACAGTTTTTTTTATTTCCCTTCATCACAAATCTGCTTCAGAAAAAAGAGAAGAAAATCCTCCCTGCCGGATTTCCACTTCTACACCTTAATGTGTTTTCAGCTGTTTGTTCTCTTCCTCTGTAACAAAAATGTAAGCCACAGATCCAGAGGGGCTGCAGATAGAGCGAGATCAGACTAAGAGGTGTCGCAGCACAAATACGTCCACGCAGGTGGGGCACGCTTCATAAACCAGCTGGTGTTTTCACGCTGGCCTCACTTGACCCTCCCAGTTAAGCCCAGCAAACGTGGCTGATCAAACATCTATTTCATCTGAGAGCGATTGTGTTTTGCCACAATAGCATTCTCAGACGAAGCTTAAAGGGCTCCAGATAGATCCAGAACGCAGGTCAGGACCCCTCTCTCCCCGTCCCCTCTACACTCTAAATTGGCTGCCATCGGACCCACGCTGTAGCTTCTCTTTTTCAAGACAAGTGCAATTCTCTTTCCACAATGCCATACATGTGACGGGGTGTTTGCCACAAGTGGATTTCTGGAGCTAAAAGATCCAAATCAGTCATTTTTGAAGTAGGATTTTCATTGCCCCCAGTTACCTGTGTATTATCTCCATCCTCCTACACCGAGAGCACGATGCCAGCAGAACCGTTAACTGTTATAGCTTTCCTACGTATGTCTCTATTTCTGTCATTTCTTCATTGCAGTAGTTCTTGGGCGAGGACGGCAGTAACTTAGCAACAGGCTGGAGAAAAGGAGCGAGCGCTCAAATAAGATTCAATAAATGGACAGGTGCAAAAATAAGAAGCATTTTCTGTGTCTGTAAACCCCCACCACGCACCACACACTTCCAGTAAGGTGGGAACAATCATCAACTTTCTGCATGTTTTTTTATTTTCATTTTAGCTCAATTTTCTGCTTTTAAAGGAAAGCAGATGTCAAAAAAGTTACATCAGAATAAATCTTCTGGCAGGAAATGATCAGATTTATTAGGCCACGCTATGGGAGGCTGTTTGGAATCCGGATGGAGCAGCAGGGGCAGATTTAGCAATTTGGGGGCCCAAGGCGAACACAGACATGGGGCCCCTTACACAAAATTTTCCACAATCTTACCTTTAAATGGATTTGCGAAACTCTCCCCTCTTCTGACACGAGTTATTTTCCCTTTTTATTAGTCCTCCTCTTTTTTCCTGTACTTCCCTCCCTTTGAGTGCCTTCAATATTTGCTCTGCTTTCTTCTTCCTGTCAGTGCTCCTGTGCTTTAGCCTTAGTTATTTTTTTTCTATTTTCCATTTTGGTCTATGTTTTCCTCCCTTTAAACATTTTCCATTGTCTTTCCTTTTCTGCTTCCTTTTGATGTTTACATCGAAAAACAACGTCACTTTCAGAGGTGAAAATAAAAGCTTTTATGAAGCATGATGCTTCTTTCTCTTGTTGGAGCCACTAGGAATTTCATGCTTAATGTTTTGACTATCGCTTTGCGTTTGTTACGAACGCTCCCGCCTCTCTTCTTATTATTATTTGTGGTCTTATGGGACTTGGCAAACAACAATTTGGTGCATTACCGCCACCAACTGGATTGGAGTGGAATGACTACCAATCACTTCCTGTTTGTGCATCACCGTCTTAATAACCCTCTTATGACCATAATTATAACAGGGACGCCTGGTATTTTTTAATCTTATAAATTGTAATAAAAAGTGCAAAGTGTGTGTAACTCTTCTCCTTTTTTCAGAACAACCTCAGCTTTCAGTGTATGGTTTGTATTTCCAAACCACTATAACATTTCACGAAAAGAAACTTGAAGCCACTTCTCCTCCAGCTTCATTGGCTGCCAGTCAACTTTAGGGTTCATTTCTTAATCCTGGTTCTGGTCTATAGGGCCTTACATGGACAAGCACCATCTTACATTGGTGATCTTCTTAGTCCCTACACCCCCAGCAGGTCCCTGAGGTCCAGTGATCAAAGCCTACTGGTTGTGCAACGCACCAGGCTAAAGACCAAAGGTGACAGATCATTTGCTGCTGTGGCCCCCAGACTCTGGAACTCTCTCCCCCTGAGCCTGAGATCAGTGGACTCAGTGGACTCCTTTAAAAAGCAGCTGAAGACTCACTTGTTCAAGCTGGCTTTTGTATGACCTTTTTCACCACTCTCTTTATTCTGCTCTCCCCACCTATTCCACCTTCCTCACTGATTTCCCTCGTTCCTGTTCACTCTCTCTCTCTCTTTTAACATTTTTTCTTTTAAATCACAATTGCCTATTTTTTGCTCATTTTAAATATATTTTTAAACATTTTCTAAATGCTTTATATATATATATATATATATATATATATATATATATATATATATTTTTTTTTTTTTTTTTTGAAAGACCAGATGCTCTTGGGGCGTAGTGAAGGACCTTTGGCTCAAACCCTTCGGATGTATGCACGGCGGAATCCGGAACTGGACTTTGCTGCCCTACACAGTGAGGCTCTACTCCTGGAAGACGAGCAGCATGGCCAAAGGGGTATGGATGCCATGTGCAGTGCTACATTTGGTGAGTCTCGACAACACTACTTTGAATTGGAAAGAGACTCTAAAACAGGAGATCTTGAATGAGGTGAAAGACCAAATGAAGGGGCTTGCCCAAGAAATGATGAGTGAAATTAAAGCTCTCCTACGCCCCCCTGAACGAAATTACACGCCCAGACATCATGGATCCATGACAAGACCACGGGTTTGTGCCCAGAGAGATGAGTGGACCCGGGATGGAAGGCCGATATGCAGACAGTGTAGGCAGGTGGGTCACATGGCGAGGTCTTACCAAGCTGCCAGCGTCCCACATACACCAGCTTTAAACTAGCTCCCCCTGCTGCTGAGGCCCAAGCAGTAGGGACAGCCCAGCAGGCTGGCCACCAGGGGGCCACCACGCAGTTTGTTGGGAAATGTCCAACAATTGAAGTTTGTGTTGGAGGAGTAACAATGACAGGATTGCTAGACACCGGCTCACAAGTGACGTTACTGCAACAGCAAGTCATGGAACAACACTTCTCACAGGTTGAACAAGGGACGGCCCCTTTGGTGCTAAAGCTGAAAGCTGCCAATGGTCTTGACATTCTATATTCAGGTTATGCCATTGATTTTGAGATTCAGGGTGTACATATTCCAGAGAAGGGTGTTGTCATTGTTAAGGACGACTGCTCCACCCACCCACTGCTGATAGTCATGAATGTCATTGGGGCCTGTTGGGATGTGGTTTTTAAAAACGGAAACCTCTCTTTGTCCCCCCGACAGGAACCCCAGCAAGCATGTCAAGAGGCTTTGGCAGAATGTCAACCAACCGCTGTAGCCTCCGGGGATGGGTTCCTAGGCTATATTTGGCCTGTTGGACGGCAGGCCATTAAAGTACCGCCCAGAAGCGAGATGATTGTTTGGGGACGCGATGGGGGAAGAACACGCAAATCAAACTACATTGCCCTAGTGGAGGCTACGCCAGTTGTAGAAGCCTGGGGGGTAGCTAGAACCCTATCTGTGGTGCAAGGGGGAAGAGTCCCGGTTCGTCTTTGTAACCCCCACCCTTACCCAGTCACCATAGGATGGAACCAGAAGCTGGGCCGACTATATCAGGTGGAGGAGACTGATGTCAAGGGGCCTCGTGACCTCAGCTTGACTATGTGTCCGGATGGCATCGTGGAGGTGGGCGTGGTAGATGTGCACCATTTGGACTCGGAGGAGCCTACGGAAGAGGTGGGACAGGCCAGTATTGGCCAGAATTTGACCTCCCAACAGCAGGCTAGGCTTCAAGCTCTCCTGCATAAGTGGAAGAAGGCTTTTGCAGATGATGAAGAAGATTTTGGCCAAACGGATTTGGTCCAGCATCGTATTCACACCGGAGATGCTCCACCCATCAAGGAGAGGTACAGACCATCACCACCTTCAATGTACCAGGAGATCAAGTTGCTACTCACAGACATGCTAGAGAAGGGTGTGGTTCATGAGAGCTGTAGTCCCTGGGCGGCACCGATAGTCCTGGTCAAAAAGAAAGATGGCAGTTGGAGATTTTGTGTGGACTATCGCAAGCTTAATTCTGTCACTCATAAAGATGCGTTTCCGCTCCCCCGTATCGAAGAGACGTTGACCAGTCTGACCGGGGCTGAGTGGTTTTCCACGTTAGACCTAGCCAGTGGCTATTGGCAGGTCACCATGGACCCCAGAGGTCGAGAGAAAACGGCTTTTACCACACCTATGGGACTCTTTGAGTTCGAGCGGATGCCTTTTGGCCTTTGCAATGCACCTGCTACTTTCCAGCGCCTAATGCAACAGTGCTTGAGTGGCCACCTAGCTGAGTGTCTGCTGGTGTATTTGGATGATGTGATAATCTATTCAGCTGATTTCTCCTCTCACCTGCAGCATTTGGACGAGGTTTTCCAGAGGCTGGTGCAGCATGGGCTCAAACTCTGAAGAGACAAGTGCAAGTTATTTCAACATGAGGTGAAGTTCCTGGGGCATGTGGTCGATAAGGCGGGGGTAAGACCAGATCCGGAGAAAACATCTGCAGTTGTAAATTGGCCAGTACCGTCCACTGTGCGGGAGGTTAGAGCTTTCCTCGGTTTGGCCGGCTATTATAGACGCTTCGTGCCCAATTTTGCTAAGATCGCCCACCCCATAACATCACTTCTGACTGGCATTCCTGTCAAGAGGTCCACCATTTCAATACAGTGGACCCCAGAATGCCAAATTGCATTTTAACAACTGAAGGCTGCGTTGACCCAGCCCCCTGTTTTGGCCTATGCTGACTTCACCAAGCCTTTTGTTGTTTATACAGATGCCAGCAATCAAGGTCTTGGTGCTGTCCTGGCTCAAGTACAGGAGCATCAGGAACGTGTGATCACCTGCGCCAGCCGGAGCTTGCACCCAACGGAGAAAAATGATGCGAACTAAAAACTGGAACTGTTGGCACTGAAATGGGCAATTACTGAAAAATGAAAGGACTATCTGACTGGAGCAAAATTTACAGTCTATACAGACAATAACCCTGTTGCCCATCTTCGAACCACACGTTTGGGTGCTGTAGAGCAACGTTGGGTGGCCCAGTTGGGCTCCTTTGACTATGAGGTGAAGTATCGGGCTGGCCGAGAGAATGTGAATGCTGATGCACTCTCCAGATTCCCAGCTAACCCATCTACTGATGCAGATTGCGAGGCCGTCAAGCTGTCAGCAGACCTGGAGAAGAGCCTGGAATGGTCTCCCGAGGAACCACAGCTGTGTCTGGAGGAAGACTGGAAGATCTGGCAGGTGGCGGACCCAGATGTTCAAGTGGTATCCAGGTATGTGGCTGAGAATGAAATGCCCGACCAATCACCGAGGCGGATGTTGCCAGCTAAGGCCCAAAAGCTTTTACAACAATGGGGTAAACTGCAGATGGTGGATGGAGTATTGTGTCACAGGGTCATGGACCCCAAAACGTCTGAAGTTTGTGTCCAGGTGGTGTGCCCAGCGGGCAAATGTCTACACATCTGGAAGAAATATCATCATGCAGCCGCCCACGCCGGAGCCGAACGGACCCTCTCCAGGATACGGCAGTTTTTCTACTGGCCCGGCATGGACCAGGAGGTGCGTCAGTTCCAGCAGGGGTGTGTCGCTTGCAGCTTGCAGAGCAGGGCCCAGCCGAAGGCTCCATTGCATCCCTTTATGGCTACTTAACCTCTAGAGGTCATAGGCTTAGATTTATTAACGTTGGGCCGGGCTACTGATAAGGTTCAAAACATACTGGTCATGACTGACCAGTTTACCCGTTATGCTTGGGCAGTCCCCACCCAAGATCAAACGGCAGAGACAACAGCTCGTGCCATGTGGCTCAATGTAATCCGGGTTTTTGGATGCCCTGCCAGGTTCCATTCGGATCAGGGTGGTAACTTCGAGTCCTCCCTTGTCCAGCAGCTTTGTCAGTTGTATGGGGTTAGTAAAAGCAGGACGACATCCTATCACCCAGCTGGCAATGGCGCTGTAGAGAGAATGAACCAGACTCTGTTGAATATGTTGCGCTCGCTTGAGGCAGAGAGGCAACGTAGGTGGCCTGAATATCTCCCGGAACTGTTGGCAGCCTACAATAACACTGTTCATAGCTCTACTGGTTATGCTCCCTCTTTTTTAATGTTCGGCAGGCATTTAAGACAACCGGTGGACCTAAGTCTGGGTGTAAGCCGAAAACCACGATCATGCGAGCTCCAAGGGTGGGTTAAGGACCACCAGCAGAAACATTCCTTTGCCTATAAGCTGGCGAGGCGCAACTTGGGTAGAGCTGCAGATCAAAGCAAGCAGAACTATGACAGGCATGCTAATGCCTTCCCTCTGGAACCGGGTGAAAGGGTGTGGGTAAGAGACCGGAACCGCAAGGGCCAGGGTAAGCTCCATCCTGGCTGGGACCCTGAGCCCTATGTAGTATTGGAGCAGTTTGGAGACACCGAGGTGGTTTACAAGATTAGGCCTGAGAAGGGGGCAATGAGAAGATGATGCACAGAAACTCTTTGAAACCCTGTATTGGCACAATGGAGTACACTGAACAGACTGAGGCCCCCACAAAAACTGAGGCTACCAGCCAGGCCCCTTATTACTTTTTTATGAATCCTGTTGCAAATCCCCCACAACCCGCAGTAAACCTGCCGGATCCACCCATGAGCCCACGCCGTTCTACGAGACAGAACTTTGGGTTGCCCCCGCTCCGTTTTACGCCCGATGGGGACTGAGGTGACAGGGACTGCCAACTTTAAAGCTGGGGGGATGTCACAGAGTGGAAATGTTGTTTTTGTTATGTTTTATATTGCATGTTTTTTACTTGATGTGGTGTTTTTAGGTTGATTTTTAACTGTTCGGGTGTTTTAAAAGATTGCTGCAACGTTGCAGCCCATTCTGTGTTAATCATCCCTGATTGCCCACACCTGAGAGCGGGGTGTGGACTGGCAGAGAATGAACAGTGGCAGAGCAGAGGGTTAAGGAGCAGTGAGGGATGTGGAGACGGGAGGACGGTGAGGGGAAAGGAAAAAGACTCGCCGGAGCCAGACGGACGCCGCAAGCCCCGCAAACAGGGGAGGAGATCCACCAGGCACGGACAACAGCATCAGCGGCAGGAGAAGCAGCAGCCCTCCACACCTGTGTGGCGCCCGCACGACTGTAGCAGCGGCGGAGAAAGAGGAATCCGCGGCCGGAGGGCCAGGCACGGAGCGCAACACGGCAGGCAGGCAGAGTTACTCTGCCCCTGCGAGTAAGTATTTGAGCAGTGCCTGGCAGTGGTTGGAGTTGCTGTGGGGCCTTTGACTGCCGGAGGTTTTTGTGTGCCACAGGGACCGAGGAGGATTGAATCCACCGGCTGTCCAGCCTGTGGATCCCCGCGGACGATGTGCACCGCAGGAGGGCGGGGTCGTAGAAGGTTCAGCTGGCGAGTGCATGCGGGGGCGGACTGGACTGCCTTGTCCTTTGGACATCATCATCTGAGCTTTTAGAATAAATTCCCTTTTTAAAAAATTTGCTTCTGTGGTTGCACTGCTTGCCTTGGTTTTAGAATCTATTTCAATCTGTTAATAATAGTGGCACAAGCCATCCATACCACCTGATACGTGTCACATGTGCGTGGCCAAACCTCTTGCAAAATCATATATGACTGCATTAGGAAAGTGCTTAAATGATAGCAACATATCACAATAGTCCCTCGTACTTTCTGCCCTCACATTGAGCATGATAGAATTCATGATTCCACAGGGGCACATTATAACTGCCCAGCCACCTTAACAAGAAACAAAGAAAGGGACGTTAGAGATTATATTATACACACACACACACACACAATCTCAGATAAGTTTTTTGTGTTTGGATAAGCTTACCAGATGCACCCCACACTTTTGAAAAGACCTTGTCAAAAGCACTGCGACTTTTCATCTGCTCTTTCAACCTGATGACAAGATTCATTTTGGAACCCGTGGACTCAAGGCCACATTGTTTGTCCAGGTTTCGCACTGCATCAACCTGTGAAAACATGGGCAAATACTTGACCAGACACAGAAACTGTAATGCAAAGATGCTAACATAAATTAGATTTTAAAATATGGGTTGTTTTCAGGTGTTTTTGTTGTGGTCTGTTAGCCCAGGCATCACCGCTAATCTCACCTTCAAGTTGATAATTTCATTAATCAATCTGTCCTCAGATCATCGACATATATATCGACATATGGGATCAACTGACAACACCCGGTTGAACTAGCTACAATAGGGTGACCAGGTGTCCCAGCTTACCCGGACAGTCCCGATTTTGAGCCATTTGTCCTGTGTCCCCAAAGATTTTTACAAACCAGTTATGTTGTCCCGATTTCACCCAGCCTTGGTCCCAAGTGTCCCGATTTTGAACTAGTCTGCAGCAGGCTGCACCTGGCACCTTCCTGAGAAAGCTGTGTCGTTCCAGTAGCTCTTTTGTTAGTCTTGACCGTCTTTTAGGCATGCTGAACAACGAGTGACTTGGTGAATCATCTTCACGCAGGACTTAGGAGCCGTCTTGCGTCAACGGCGTTGTCATCAACCAATGAGCATTAGGTTACACAGACATGTGACAGAAAGTTGAGCTAATGTGACATTGAGAACTTTGTTGTCAAGGTTTTTGGATATTTTCCCATCTACACTGTCCGAACTGAGGAGCTGAAAGACTTCTGTTCATTTGTTGATGTTGAACATGCCACTCTCCTTGGGACCAGCAGAACCCATTGGCTCTCACTGGGACCTGCAGTTGAGGGTTCTGAAGCTTTATCCAGCACTTCAGTCCTACTTCAGGTCTCAGGAAAAAGCACCAAATTTAATCACCAAGTTCCTAGAAAACCAAGTGTGTGAGGCCTGGTTGTGGTTTACACACATTACAACCAACTGTCACTGTTTAATGACACCATCAAAAAGATGGAGAAAGAGAAGAGCACAGCTGTCCACTCTGCACAGCACCTGTGTGATCTACAGGAGAAACTTTTGGAGAGGAAGGCCGCCCTCTTCATGGTATTAAAGGTGAGTTTAAACATGTTCAAATTAAAAGTAATTGAAAAACGAGACTCTTATATTAATGCTTCATGAATTATTATTGGTGTTTTTTTCAGGTGAAGAGCATTCTGGCTACCCAAGAGCGCCCTCAAGTGGAGGTGTTTAAGCAAAGCGTCCACACCTTCTATGAAGGTTGCATCTCATATCTGCAGGAGTGGAGCTCCTCATTTACTGACATGAAGTGCTTCTCTTGGACCCTGCTCGAAGATCCACCAGGTTGGGATGAGGTTGAGAGCTCCCTGAGGTATGTCTCCTCAAAGCTGCCAAACATTCACATCAATGAAACGGAGCTCTTTGACGAAGTTACTTCTGTCAAAACTTACACATCTGACAAGATTGGACTGTGGGACCGAGACATTAAACCAGCAGATGAGCGCTGGGCTGAAATCTTAATACATTTTAAGCATCAGCATGTCCCATTTAAAAATGTAGCCGTCATCTGCCAGTTTGCCATGTGCCTACCTGGCACAAACGCCTCTGTGGAACACATTTTTTCTCTCATGAACAACACTTGGACCAATGAGAGAAATCGTCTGGGACTGGAAACTCTGAAGGCACTGCTCGTTACTCGGGTGAACTTTGATGACTGCTCTGAGTTTCATGCCAGACTTGTTGACAACCACAGTCTGCGTAAAAAGATTCACTCAAACATGAAGTACTCTTAAAGAGTTACTGTGACATTAAAGGGAACAATAGGGCTGTTCATTTAGTGCAATATTTTTGTTACTAAAAAACTTGAAGTCAGTGAAATACTTTTTTTGTTCACAAAAGGGCTACATTTAATATTGCCCAAACAAATGTGTTTAGGAAAATACTGTATTGTTTTGGAAAACGATTGCACTAAAAATATTAGAAAAACTGTCCTTATTCTGAATATAGATCAAACGTTTCTGTTCTTGCACATTCTACAATCAAAAAATGTTATTAAGGTCAGTTAAATTCTTTATCTTTTCACAAAAGGGCTACATTTAATATTGCCCAATGTGTTTCACAAATACAGTATTATTTTGAAAAAGAAAATAACAAAACATTGCACTAAAAAAAAGAATGTCCTTATTTTTAATAGGATGTTCAAATGTTGTTGCATTTTGTACAATAAAAAGCAGTTATAAGTCACCAGCAAGGATTTGTCAGTCTTTAATTTAGTGTAAAACTTTGGTGTCCCAGTTTTCAGTTTTTTAAATCTGGTCACCCTAGGCTGGGATCAACTGACGACACCCGGTCGAACTAGCTACAAGCTAACCTGAAGCTAACCCAAAGCTAACGCGGAGGTGGGAGCTAAGCTAACGGAGGTAGCAACCTAGCTACAACCGGAGTTAACTGTGCACAACACCAGAGCTTCTGAGTCAGAGCTACGCCGGGATGACCGCTGGGTAAAACCGGGTGGAACACAGAGGTCTCCGAGACCTCCACAAGCCGGCAGCCGCACAGCAGACAAGTGCCGCTGCGATCTGAGATGCGCAGAGCTGCCGCTGGAGAGAACTGGGTAGAAAGGTTTCCATCCCAGAGCTCCACAAGCCGGCAGCCCTCGCAGCAGACAGAAGCCGCGATCAGACAGAGATGCGCCGAGCTGTGGGGAGGGGAGAAGCGGGTGGAAAACAACGGTCTCCCGAGAGCTCCACAAGCCGATAGTCGGAACCCAGCTCCACCAACATTCAACCCATTTTCTAAAGTGCAGCATTATGTTAAATGCACTGGGTTTTACCCTATTACATTTAAATTTCATGGTTAAACAGTACATGTTAAAATCTAAGCTCAGCTCGGCAGTGACCTAACATACATAAATATAATTTTACTTACCGAAAAAAATTAAGTGGAGACTCCTTGGACGCTCTATTAGTGCAATTAATACCACAGCAAGTCATTTTGTCCAACAATTGCACAAAAATATCCAAAAAGAAATACACAAACGCTACAACTAATGGTCTAAGTTGAGAGACTGAAACTGACGGAACAGTTATCAGGCAAGGCCGAGGCTCAGACTGAGGCCTTTCCCCGGAGCTAGCTCTGCGGTCACGTGGGTCTGATGCTCATTAATATCCTCTAATATTGGCCTGTATTCAATTGACGGCCGGGTATCACATTTTGGCCAGTGTCGGCGGAGGTGAATAATGGCCGTTTTTTTATTGTGGCCGGGTGGAATGTGGTAATAAGCAAGTACCACAGAGGGGCGGTTGTGTCATCCGTCTCACTTTTGATTTGCCAGTGATAGACCGCGAGGGTAACTTTAACCGTGGCAGGTGCGGAGACGAAGGGGAGGTGAAAATTTGATATCAAGTTCAAAGAGAACGTGCTGATTATGCTGCAGAACACTCTGGGGAGAAATATGAACTAGTCACTAGACGACTTCACTGCTCTATAGTGACTTGTTATGCCTGTCATTGACTAGTCGCTGTCACGTGATAATGACCGGCAAGATGCAGTCCTCGGAAAAGACAGCAGCCTGCTGTCAGCAGGTGACAGGTTCCTGCGTGTCTGGAGGCAACGCGCTGTGCCAGAGCGTCGGTACTGACACCCGCCGTAAAACAGTCATTTAACCAAACTGTGACCTTTACCCTCTTGCAAATTAACATTCCCCTCACCCCATCCTAACCTTAACCAGCTCGCGCATGCAAAGCTCTGATTGTTGACGCGCTCCAGACATCTGCGCCCTGAGCACGGCCACAGTAACGGTATCAAATCAGGTGTCGCCACCTCAAAAACTAATTTAACACGCGATCGTTCATGTCGGCTCATTTCCTTTGATGTTTTCTGTCTTTTATTTGTGCCTGATGCTTTCGCTGCTGTCGATCGGGGCGCATCACCTTGTCCTCCAGTGATGCACCGGTGCGGCCGGCGAGCAGCGCGCACCCCGTTGTTTTTGCGGTCGGTAGATCTTTTAGAACTGCAGTTCAAAGGTAACTCATAAGGTGAATATATATGAAGGCAGGTAGCAGTTTTTCTTTAGGATTGAGAGGAGATGCAGGAAGATAATAAACAGACAGGACAGAAAGAGTTGTTTCCATAAATCTGAGTCAACTAGAGACCTTTGATCTTAAAGAACTTCATCTGTTTTATCCAAGAAGAAAGTTTGATGTGTTCTCTGAGTTGGTTCTCAGGTTTATAAATGCATTTCTGTCTGTTTGAATATATTTTAAACACTTTTCACCAGTTTAATGAGTCTTCTGTTTATTTTTATAGAGCCCATTTTAAAACAACTTTATTTGAGCAGTGTTGTGTCTACAAGCTGTAAAACATTACATCTTTTTAGAAATGCATCAGCTATAAACATGAAACATAAATAATGAACAATCACATAAATTAAAAATGGAAACTTTTTCAGTAAAAGCAGAACTCGGTTTTAACCTGTTAAACCCCAAAAACAACCAGATTAGTAAAGTGTGTCTTGTGCACACATGCAGATGCAGACACACATCTCTTGTATTGTAAACAAGTCATTGTAGCTTTTTCGTAACTGTTTTATGACACAAGTGGATTTAATGTGTCTTGTTTTGTCCTCACAGGCATCTTCATCGTGGAGCGTCCCGCGACTGCAGGGGTCCCTGAGGTCATCCGGATTCTCGATGAAGATGAAGGTAGGTACCCAGCCCTTCACATTCCTGATGATGATGTGGTGTTTGTGGGTCATGGTCAGGCTCCTACAGTAGAGGCAGAGCGTGCTATTGAGGGTCTGAGTAGGGATGAGGAGTTGGAGGCAGAGCGTGCTATTGAGGGTCTGTGGTCAGCTTTAGAAGGTTTTATGGCTTCTAGTGTGTGCTCTGGTTATGGTAGCTCAGTTCTGGATAGAGATGAAGACCAGCAGCTTCCACCACTAGAATACTTCTGGCTGGCGGTAGCTCCTCCGGCCCCGCCGGAAGAGCTTCCAGAAGATCCCAGGCCTGCCCACAGGAGCGCTGAAGAGGTCCAGGATGTAGAAGAACCCACTCCTTCTACCTCGGTCCTTGGATCCAGCCAGAAGAGGACTGGAGAGCGCTTCCCGTACATCTCACTGAAGAGACCAAGATGGGACGACTCCGACTCAGACTAGAGATATTTTTTTTTCCAGTGCAGCGCCACTGAAGATCATTTCTTTCTTTCTTTCTTGAACTGGTTGACTGGAAACGTTTGTCTCAGGTAGCTTGTTGCACCAGGACTGTTTTTTACCAGGTCACCAGATGTTTGTTTTAGTCACCAAGTGTTTTATCAAGTCAGCTGAACTGGTGATGTCTTAGGTAGCATCTGGCACCAGCACGTCTTCATCCGTTGGCTGAGTTTAGTGTTTTATTATTTAAGAAGTGTGTTTTTAGAGCTGGTAGAACTGGAGATGCTGATGTGGACGGTTTCACCTGGGCTTCTGTGTCTGGTTGCTAAATCTTCTATTTTATTTGGGTCCCGAGAGGATTTCCTTTTCATCTGATGGAGCAGGCAGTCTGGTTTAGGGTCACACACACACACACACACACACACACACACACACACGCATATATATTAGTATATGATATTCTGACGTTCACTAAAAGATGTAAGCCTGGAACACAAGAGGCCATCGGAGCAAACAAGATCCCACCTGAGATGGATGGTGAGAGGTGGTAGAAGATAAACAAGAGACCAAGGAGGGCAGGAAGATGGAGGCAAAACTACAACTACAGTGATGCTTCTGATAATCTGGTAGAGCAGATAGAGCAGGTCTTATTGAGGAATGGGACGTTTACTTGGTGACATGAGCGTAAGCTGATGGTGATCTTTGATCCGTATAAAAGACAAGGACGATAACATCATCTTCATCATGTCCTTTCTGTTTCACTAACTGTTCTGTCACAAGAAACTGTTCTAAATAATCTGTAGAAGCGTTTGATTCCAGGTTTAGGAGGAGCTCTCCGTGTCTGTTTGTGTCCTCACGTCCTGCTGGACTGAGCTTCTCTGGGCTTTGTGGTCCTGCAGGAACCAGGAAGGAGCTGAACAGCAGAGCTCTGACACAGACGGAGCAAACAAAGGTTTTAGTGTTTAAATGTGCACGTGTTTAAAAATAGCTCTTTACAAAAGTTAAACAATAAATACTAAAATATTAAAGGCTAATAAAATATAGTCTAAACATGTAAATGATTAAAATTAACTTGAATATTTTAACAAGTTACTGTGCGGTTAAATTAAAGCAATAAAGACTCCGATTATTTACATTCAACATAACTTTAAGATTCACCGCAGAACAAAATTACGATGCGTTTGACCGCGACTAAAGAACGGATAAACATCGTAAAAGAACGAGAAGTTAACAAAAAGCATAAAAGTCAAAGGAGGCTCTAAATCTGTAAAACGTTTATAAAATACTAAAATGAATTTAATTAGAAATAATTTTTTATTTTGACGGTTTCTTTTTTCCTGCTTCAAGACAGAATTTATGTTCCAACATTAAATGCTGTGTTGATGCAGGTTTTGCTTTACCGTCTCCGGTCGCCCAGAGCAAAAGGCTCTGGTAACGGAACTCTCAGTAATGAGACGGGGTTCGATTCCCTGCAGGGCCCTGCTTATGGGATTAGATTTGTGCCAATAGGATCAAGAAAAACACTTTGGAGAGCAAACAAATTTTAAGACACTGAGAGAAAAAACCTTGGTTTCAAAAGAAAAACTTACGATCTGAATCAGATTCTTAAAATGATCAAGAAAATCACTGTGACGGTCAAACAAAAATTAAGAAATTGACAGAACAAAAATATTGACTAAAGGAAAAAAGCATGTTTCGAAAGTAAAACTTACTATCTGAATAAACTTCTTAAAATGAGTAACAAAGTATGTTTCCTTTTTCTGTTTGCCTCTATGTGTTTTTGTTATCAATTTCCTTAGTTTTGTTCTCTCTGCTCAGAGCTTTGCTCTCACTTCCAGATTTGCACTTACACTGTCTGGCTTTCTCCTTTGCAATCCCTGAGTTTTTGGTTGCAATTCTGACACAACCCTTTCGGGTGGGCGGGACTTCTGAGAAGTCCTCTCCCATAGGACAGTGGTTTCTCTTGAGTGACAGTTCAGTGACCTGGAAGTGATGTAGCCTCCAAGACATTTTTTTCCCACCTGGTCAACAACATGAATTTTGAGCCCCAAACAGGTTATTTCTGCTGTCTGTGGTGTCTACTGAGGATCTAAAGTGAGTATTGATAATATATTTTATCTTTTCTTAGTTCATCTGTAAGTTAAGCCACTTTTTAAGTTGGTTTTAACCAGATGCTAGCTCACTAGCTAGCTGCTAAGCAAGCCATTGTGCTAGCCTCAGGACAATGGACTATTGTTCCAGAGAGACGTATTAAAAACTCATCTTAACATATTCATTACTGGGTTCATGGAATTAATTATTGCAGTTTATGTTAATAAGTTTGCTAATTTTTCAGGAACCTGTGGAACATCAGAGACTTTGCAGCTACTGGAGCTAACCTGTGTACTGCTAACTTGCTACAGAGGAAGCAGCAGAAAGCTGAGCTAACAGGCTGTTTTGCAGGTAAATACTCTTTTAGTGGAACTGCAGGATTTTTATGGTATAACTCAGACAGAATCTACATGAGCTATTGTGGGAAGACATTTAAACTACATTTACATACAGATACATGTATTTTTTTATTCCATGTTACTTGGACGGGCTAAACAAGTTCATAGTTCTGCCTGCTCCTTTTTCAGTGAAACGAATGGATTTTATGATGTAACTCTGACTGAATAATTATCTAAGTGAGTATGTTTGATAATACATTTCTTTCCAGTATACAGATCTGACATTTGTTTGTCAGAACAAGACAAATCAGATTCAATGTGCTTTCTGTCACGTGCTCTGTATTCTCCATGAAAAGAATGTTATCCAGGACAGATAATCAATAATGAGTTAAATACATGCTTTTAATTAATTTTTACATAAAATCTATATTTTTGTCTAAAAGCTATTATTTATTTATTTATTCTTTCTTTTCAGATTGAAAACTGCTGCATTGCATTACAATGGAAGTGCTACACAGCCACATGCATCAACTGCAGCTGGTGAGCTAAGACACACCATAGTGTACACAAAGTACACTGCAGACAAGGGATGTAAGAAAATATCAATATGACAATATATCGCGATGTATTTTCCCAGTAATATTGTATCGATATTCTCGAACTCTGTCTCTAAAATATCGATATGGCAATATATCGTGATATTTTTTCCTGAGATATTACATCCATTTTCAAAAGCAGTGTATCTAATTTTTGGAAGAATTTACATGCAAACATTTGTGTATTTTCTTTGTTTTTGGTGCATTTTAAATGTGGCCCGCTAGTTGGCAGCAGTGTGCATTGGGTTTTGTTTCCACCATTGAAATTTAAATCTCGCTATTATGGTTCAGAAACTCATGTTATATATGTTAAGTATCAGTTTGGACTGTTTATTGAATATTCCAACAATAAATTCTGTCAAAAATACACATCCCTACTGCAGACCAATCCCACCTCATGTAGTTCATATGCTGTATAATAAACCCACAGTGATGGTTATGGATAAATATCTGTACTAATGGTAATCTTTTTCCATTGTTTCCAGTTGACAAGCATATGGACCTATTGTTCGAGTCCGTGGTGGTGGATGCTCTATCATATCAGGAGTCGGTGGTGGTGGATGCTCTACCATATCAGGAGTCTGACTAAGTACCTGTGCCTGAACCTCTCTGTGTCTAGTTCAAAAGACCTGAAAGACCTGCTGTAAGCAGGCACAGGATAAGATTTTAAAAGAACCTGTAAGGTGAGCAACACAACACAATATAAATCTTTATTATTATTGTACGCTGTACAGCTAGAATAAACTTGCATGCTCAGAAGCCACGTATGATTACATCGCCTACAGGTTGCCTGATGCTGAACTTCGGGCAGCTGCGTGCTCAGTGGAACAACCGCCTGTGGGAGGAGTCGTTGTGTTGCTGTTAGAAGTTTGGGTCGGAGTCCTGGGTTTGTGTTCCCTTTAATCTCTTCATTAGCCTTGCTAGTCACCATTGCAGAGCACCATGGAGAGGCTTACCTGAAAACTCTTCTCATGGGGCAGGCACATCCTCACACACCTGTAACCCCATCCTTGAATAAAAGCTGGTAGCTGGTCACTCATCAGTGTTTTAACCCATATCTAGCCCATGACTCTGCCGTTTTTCAAACTTACGTTCTCATGTTCTATGCAGATCTATGGGAATTCTTTCCTTGAAGCTCCTGATCACACAACCATACTGGCAGTCGGCTTACCCACTACCTTCTGCTCACCCGCTTGCTACTCATGCTGTCATTCTCCCAGACTTCTGGTTGTTTCTCCACCATTCTGCTGTCTCCCGTCTGCGCTACAATTTCAGACCGTAAGTACCTAAACTTTTCCTTTTGTAAGTCATTCTTTAGTCATTACTAACACTCAATTTTACCTCAGGGCCTTCTGATCTTTAAACACTAAAACCTGTGGCTCCATCTCTGTGGCGTTTCTCAGACTCTGTAAGCTACCTGCACAGTCTAAGAAAACCCTGACCTGTTGCCTCTTACTAACCTCTGCTCTTCCTCGCAGAAGCTTCTGGTTCCTGATCTCCAGCTGTTACCTCTTCAGTCATCCGTCAAACATTTTAATAAACTGTTTTTAGCTCATTTGTCTCCTGAGTTTCTCTGCATGAAGGTCAGGTTGTTGCAAAAATCATGACATCAGCAATTACTTTGCACCACTCTGTTAAACAGCTGATATTAATTTCAAGTGTATCTTTAAAAATACATTGAATGTCAAAGTGAATGAAAGGCATCCATTCAGCTTTCAGTGTCTAATGCAGGATTTTACGGACAGGCACCAAAACAGGAAATTTATAAATTGAGATTTATTTACTAAATCAGGTAAACTGTAATAAAACACTAATGTTTAAAGTCCGGAGGAGGGAGGAAGGCTTTATAGCAGGGGTATTCAATTCTAGTCCTGGATGGCTGGTATCCAGCACGTTTTAGTTGTTTCCCTGCTCCAACACACTTGAATCAGTGGTTGAATTACCTGTGCAGCAGCTCTGCAGAAGCCTGTTAATTATCTGCTGACTGAAATCAGGTGTATTGAAACAGAGTTAAAACTAAAACGTGCTGGATACCGGCCCTCCAGGCCCAGAAGTAAATACTCCTGCTTTATAGGCACAGAGAACTCCCATCAGGATCCTGGAGACGGCACAAGGAGATGACGACATGAGTGTGCCCTCCCAGATCACACCAACACCACCTGACCACATGGAGGCATGTGTCTGTAAGAAAGAAAAACTGGTGATGTAAGAGATTAAACAAAAACTACGAACAAAATCAATTTTACAGTTGTTTAACCTGCTGAGCATCGTCTCCCCAAAGAGCTGCACAAAGGTGCAACTGGCTCAGAACCAGGGTGCTCCGTTGTGCAGGTAGTCACCTCCTCCTGCTGACACCTGAGGATTACCTACAACAAAGGGAAAACTGATATCAATAAGGAAATAATTAAATCAGAGCTAAAAGTTTAATTTTAGTGTGACGTTTGAGATTGTGGGAAATAAATGTGGACATTATGATTTTCTATTGTGGGGTCAGTACCTTGGGCGTTTCTCTGTAGCAACATTTTGTCTGGCTGACAATGAAGTAAAAAAGTCACCAGTTGAGGCAGAGTTAGACTACATTACTCCAGCTAAGCTAAATGTAGCTAAAATAGACACTAGTCACCAGACTATGGTTACTATAGATTTACTAGAGTTACATCAAAAAATCCATTCGTTTCACTGAAAAAGGAGCAGGCAGAACTATGAACTTGTTTAGCCCGTCCAAGTAACATGGAATAAAAAAATACATGTATCTGTATGTAAATGTAGTTTAAATGTCTTCCCACAATAGCTCATGTAGATTCTGTCTGAGTTATACCATAAAAATCCTGCAGTTCCACTAAAAGAGTATTTACCTGCAAAACAGCCTGTTAGCTCAGCTTTCTGCTGCTTCCTCTGTAGCAAGTTAGCAGTACACAGGTTAGCTCCAGTAGCTGCAAAGTCTCTGATGTTCCACAGGTTCCTGAAAAATTAGCAAACTTATTAACATAAACTGCAATAATTAATTCCATGAAACCAGTAATGAATATGTTAAGATGAGTTTTTAATACGTCTCTCTGGAACAATAGTCCATTGTCCTGAGGCTAGCACAATGGCTTGCTTAGCAGCCAGCTAGTGAGCTAGCATCTGGTTAAAACCAACTTAAAAAGTGGCTTAACTTACAGATGAACTAAGAAAAGATAAAATATATTATCAATACTCACTTTAGATCCTCAGCAGACACCACAGACAGCAGAAATAACCTGTTTGGGGCTCAAAATTCATGTTGTTGACCAGGTGGGAAAAAAATGTCTTGGAGGCTACATCACGTCCGGGTCACTGAACTGTCACTCAAGAGAAACCACTGTCCTATGGGAGAGGACTTCTCAGAAGTCCCGCCCACCCGAAAGGGTTGTGTCAGAATTGCAACCAAAAACTCAGGGATTGCAAAGGAGAAAGCCAGACAGTGTAAGTGCAAATCTGGTAGTGAGAGCAAAGCTCTGAGCAGCGAGAACAAAACTAAGGAAATTGATAACAAAAACACATAGAGGCAAACAGAAAAAGGAAACATACTTTGTTACTCATTTTAAGAAGTTGATTCAGATAGTAAGTTTTACTTTTGAAATATGTTTTTTTCCTTTAGTCAATATTTTTGTTCTGTCAATTTCTTAATTTTTGTTTGACCGTCAAAGTGTTTTTCTTGATCATTTTAAGAATCTGATTCAGATCGTAAGTTTTTCTTTTGAAACCAATGTTTTTTCTCTCAGTGTCTTAAAATTTGTTTGCTCTCCAAAGTGTTTTTCTTGATCCTATTGGCACAAATCTAATCCCATACCTGCTGCTTATGCCGACTGAGACTAACGCTGTTTCACTACACTTTACCATCTACATAAAGATAAACTAGGTTCAGTTATTCATTTTAAGGAATTTTGTCATAAATCATCATAAAAATCTAAATTCCTCTAAATGGTGAAGAGCTGTTTGTCATACGTCACTAAAAAGATGTCTTACAGGGCAGCTCATGCCGCTAGTATGTCGTGTTTAGCTGTATTTTAATCAACTTCATATTCAATAATTACAGAAAATTGTGTTTACAGTTGCGGCAAAACGTCTGAACCCTATGTCGGAGTCCTACACACATTTTAAAGCCACGATCTGAAATTTTTTCATATTTAAAAATTTTCTTGAGCCAGTATGTGCTAAAGTGACCGTTAACAGCAGTGGTATGAAGTTCCCAGCCTGGAGGGCCGGTATCAAGCACGTTTTAGTTTTAACTCCGTTTCGACACACCTGATTTCAACCAGCAGGCGATTAACTCCTTAGCATTCCAGCGTCCCGCCCGAGGGACAAAACCCCATTGCGCTGGAAATTTACGGGGTTAAGCTTCTGCAGAGCCTGAACTGCTGCACAGGTGATTAAACCACTGAATCAAGCATATTGGAGCAGAGAAACCACTAAAACCTGCTGGATACCGGCCCTCCAGGACCGGAATCGAATACTGCTGTTTTAGAGGGTTAATGAACAGCCACCCAGCACATATCGCACCCCTTTGGCCAGAATGTTCTACTTTCAACTCCAGACTGGCAGTTGGCTCTGTTGGGACTTAAACAAATATTGAGCGGACATACCTGGAGCTGCAGTCTGCTTCCAGCACATTTGCTGCATGTTTTAAATCATGAACGCAGCTGATTTATAATATGTTTATTGCCAGACTTAAAGTCCATTTTAAAAGAAACATACAGATAAAAGAAAAAGATACAAGAAAAGAAAGGATACCAATTAACATTGATACCAATAAAAGCCTGTATAAAATCACAGGATATAACTGCAGTGGAGGTAAGGGACAACAAAACTAACTAGTTGAGATAAATCCACCCAAACATTTTAACCTGTGCATTCTCAGCCGTGACATATAACGAGAGCAGCTCACAGTGGGATTTGAGAGTGCAGCTATAATACTATTGGAAGACTCTTCCAGCGTCTCATAAACTTGAACATTAAATTTCTTAGAAGTGCCTTAAATGTGCACACGCTCACAGAAACACACGTTTGACTAGCACTGCCTCCCCTGGGAATTTTGAGGAGGATTCTCGTTGCATCATTGTATGCCACTTGTAACCTGTGCAAGCTAGACGTTTTATAGAATGACCACAGATGTGCAGTATAGAGTGGTGTGCAGTATGCTTTAAATAATGCCACTTTAACAGGTGTGGAACAACAGCTGAATGTCCGTGCAATGGTGTTTGCTTGCACATGTAGCTTGCAGCACTGCCTGTAAATATCATCATCGCCGCTCATATTGGCTGTGATAAAGTGTTCAAGATATTTCATCTTTTCACAGACTGCAAGACTGTTGCTGGACAACTTAAACACAGGAAAATGAAGCCTTTTATCCTGGGTGGTTCTGTAGATTAGAACAACACTTTTGCTCGAGTTATATTTTAAATCATATTCCATTCCATACCCAGTACTAACATCTAGGAGCTGCTGCTGCTGATTTGTTCAGTTTAGTGATGAATCACTCATGTAGACACTGAGGGTGGTTTCCAGGAGCACTACTCAGGATAAAACAGCTCTGTACAGCCTGGTTTGAGTCAGCCCATCTGAAAGCAGGTTTGTTCCCACGCCAGCTCCATGAAGCCCCTAGCCAATCAGCGGCCAGAATCACGATACCGGCCCAACTCAGCCTTGCCAGGTACCTCAATGGAGCAGGGACTAAAAATAGGGGAGAAAATGGAGGGAAAATACCAAACCGTGCCCTTGGAAACCGTGGTCGGGCTGAACTGCATCGGTCCGAGTTGCCCTGAGTAGTGTTCCTGGAAAAGCACCTTAAGGCTGCAGAACCAGGCATATCAGCTCTACTAACTCCAACAGACCTGACCGGCAATCTGAAGTTGCAAGTGTGGTATTCTGGCCACAGAGCGGTGAGGGTCTGAGTGACGTTTCATTCACCATGTAAAGGGTCATTTTGGCACATACTAGCTCAAGAAAATGAGTTCAAAAAACGAAAAAGTTGTAAAGTATCACTTTAAGTTATCTTGGTGTCGTGGTCTGGGGTGAGTCCTCCTCTCTCTGCTAAACCTTCTCTGAGCTTCTCCAGCAGGTGGGCGTGTCAAGGAGTGGACCAGCTGCAGCCCATCTGCTCATCAGCTGGCCAGGGACATATAAGCTGCTGGGAGACATCTTTATTCGCTGGATGATTAACTCAACTTTGGTATCTACCGCTCCCGAGCCTGATTACTGAGTAATCCGAATAGATATCGTCCAAGTCGTACTTCTAGCCAGATTGCTAGTTCCTGTGTGTTTTTCCAAGCTTGCCTGATTTTTGTAAGCTGCCTCTTCTCCAGATTTCCACCACCACCTTTCACACCGTGCTGCAACCTACCGGACCAGTCCCGCTGTCTCCCAGCCGCTCCTGGCTGTCCACTCCATACTGACCTTACCTTACCGGATCCTGCTCCCTATTCCGTGCTCAGCTCCTCCAGCCCTCCAGCGACCTGGAAACCCAGTCTCCTGTGATCCAGCAAGCGTGTGTTCTTCAAGGTACTGAAAATGTCAAAAAGAGCTGGTGAGATTGCTTAAAGGGGTTTTGTGCAAAAATCTTCATTTTCCTGTTTTGTATAGACCACAAAATTGTTCTAACTTTAAAAATATAGTCGCAACACGTCCCCTTTAACATGTGCTTTTGTAGCAGGAAGTCCTTTACAGTTCTCCAATCGCCCCAAGACAAAATGCACATTGCCGTACATGAAGCATTAAAAAGGCAAAGCGAGGTTTAATTTATACATTTATTCTAATCACAACTGTACAGGAGTGTATCGTCACAGCAGAAACGCAACCTGAACCTGACCGTGGAACAACAGCCGTCACAACACATCCAGAACTCCAACAGAGATGTACAGGCTCAGATCATTTCAACTCAACATTTAGATTCCTCTTGATCATCATCATAGTTATTATTATTCACATAGAACTATCTGTCTTTCAAATATGTCTTTGTTTTAAAGAGCATAAAAATACAAGTGGACTTTTCACTAGGATGAAAACTGGTGGCTGATCCACCGTCTTGGCTTATATGAAGGGAAAACACTGAAAACTGGGGGCGTCGGGAGGAGTGAAGCCAACTTAGTACAGCTTACCAGATTTTTTTGTTATTTTATGTGTTTATATTAGCTCATACAAGGCTTTGCAGTAGTTACAGAAGGTTGCAGATATTTGGGCGTTGACTTTTAGGGTTAAGTCTCTTGGACATCACTGACACAAAGAGGCGTTGTCAAAGAAATCATGAAGCTGTTAAACAAAAGGAATAAATAAATACGAAGGCACGGAGATTTGCAGAATAAACACCAAATTTAGAAATAATGGTGATAAAAGAGGAAGACGAGAAGGAGGTTAAGTTGATTAAAGGCAATTTTACTAACCAAACTCTAGAGGGCGCTTTAGGAGCGCCTGTTTTAAACCTACCGTAAATCCTCTAATACAGGCCCGGGCCTGTATTTGACTCAAGTTCATCAAGCTCCAGGCCTTCATTGGAAGGAGGGCCAGAATTAGAGGCAGGCCTCAATTTCTATTTGAGCAAAATGAACTAATGGTTCGCTGGAGTTTTTGACAGTTAAAATTGCGCCCACATTTTCAAAGTTAAACACGTTTCTTTTAACAACGGTAGTTTCTGCTTCAGCCCTCTCCCCCCTCCCCCTGCGCAGCGGCCGCAAACTCACTGATGCGCCTGCAGCCTCTCGGAGTTCCTGCTGCTCTAGACATTAAAATAATTATTTCATTTTCTGTTCCTCACTTCTGATTACCTTCAATGGTGTCTGTTTGTTGCAACCAGCAGGTACAAAAACTAACTTGTTTTTATTTGACTATTTTTCTGTCCTGTATCTGTTTATTATGTTCCTGCATCTCCTCTCAATCCTAAAGAAAAATTGCTACCTGGGTTCACACCGCCATGGGGTTCTTCTCTGGCACACCGTGCACTGCTATACCAAAAACTTTTGTTTTAGCAAAAATAATTATTTATTGTAAAAAGAAAAATAATGCTGGAATGATGCTGAATCTTACAATTAGCAAATAGTTGAGGGTTGTTCAAAATAAAAAAAATAAAAAATAAAGACTGAACAAACGTTCACATCCTGGTTCACCGGAGATCTGTCTTTCTTCGTGGTCACTGTCTTCATATATAAGCCTTCTGGGACACAGCATTTCCATAATTTCTTGCTGGTTTTTATGCTGATTAGCTTCCCCGTTCCGTTATCCGCTTTCACCGCGGTGCTGCGCTCCGTTTCAATCAGGCTGTACAGCAGGATTTCCCCTCGTAGCAATATTTTCCCTAACTCTGATTGCTTCATGCTATAGATCGTTGGAAAGCTGCTTTTATGTACTTTTATGAACCGTTGGAATTTCTTGGATCTGATGAGCCATTCAAAAGTTATAAACGTGAACATTTTGGATGACTAACTCAGCACGTCTCTCAATCTGTGTTGTGATTCGTTGCGCTCAAAACAGGGAATCCCGGTGGCTACCGTAATGTATTGTATATGCACGAAAAGCCCCACTTTTAATCTTTTCAGCACTTTTGGAATTTTAATGATATCTTCAACGGTTCAGGAATTATGGTAATGAGAAGTGCGCATGCCCAATCCCGTCTGCGGCCACAGGTTGGTAATAATGTTGTGGCGTTGACAGAGGGGTGCCGGTGGTCAGGGCTAGGGGGCCCCCCAACACATGGGGGCCCCAGGCGGCCGCCTACCTATGCCTAATGGTAAAACCGCCTCTGTGGAGCAGCATTAGCTGGTGAAAACCTTAAATAGAGGACGGATTTTAAATTAAAGCATGCAAATTTAAAAAAGCCCAAAAGCTATAATTCCACATACAGTTTAAAAGTGTTAAGAGTTTAAATTGAATTAAAGGCCGACCGATATGGGCCAAAATTGAATATATCTGCTCGATATATCGGTCGGCCTCTAGAATTAAACCTGAATATATAGTTAGATTAAACATATGCTTTAGCTTTGTAATTATCAATAATATGCTAAAACATGTAATTACAATACAACTCATTTTTGCTATTGTGTTAAACAAAATGTGTCAAACTTTTTAAGTGCTAAATGTGGCTAGCTGTAGCTGCTAATAAATCTGTATTCCATGCAAGTAGAGCCCAAAATAAATAGACATAAACTCTAATTTGCATCAAATGAGTGACTCTAGATCTAGAAAATGGCGTGTAAAGCCTGTGTTCACTACGAAACCAGTAAACAAGAATCCTTTTTGTCCTCAATTAACTGTGACAGGCAGTCCAAGGGGGTTCAGATGAAGGCAACTGGACTTCTTTAGTTGTAATCAGTAATCAGTGGAGCTTTGTCAATTCAAGTTGCCTTCATTTTCCCTCTGGGATTAATAAAGTATTTTTTAATTAATTAATTAAATTAATTTTAATTTAATTTGAACCCTTTTGGATCACCAGGACCTTCAGCATGTTCCGTGCAGTAGCCTTTGCTTTCCAGTAGAGGGCAGTGTGACTTGCAAATCGAGTCAAACAGTTTTTAAACCACCAAACTTTTACGTTCAAGTTCAAAATTCAAATGTTTGCTTTAACCTACATAATTGTATTTAAAATGTGTTAGCAGAAAACTTAGAAATAAAAGAGAATGTAATTGTGTTGATTGATGGATTTTGAGTATCAGTATTTTGTTAAATGATTATGGACGTGATTAATACATGTGGACGACTGTTGTTCTTGGAGACAACAGTGGCAATAATGGGACTAAAACTAACCTTTCTACAGACGTGCACGCACACAGACACGCACACACACGCAAACACACACACACACACGCACACACACACAAACGCACACACGCACGCACACACGCACACACACACGCACACACACACACACACACACACGCAAACACACACACACACGCAAACACACACACATGCACACACAAACACGCACACACACACATGCACACACACACGCAGACACACACACACGCAGACACACACACTCACACACACGCAAACACACACGCACACACACGCAAACACACACACACACAGATATGCAAACACACACACGCACACACACGCAAACACACACACACGCAAACACACACACACGCAAACACACACACACACACACGGAAACACACGCACACACACACACACACACACACACACACACACACACACACACACACACACACACATCTGGCCTTTAACTATTTAAAAACAAAAGTTTTCCTGAAGGTTTCCTCTAATGAACACTGAAGGATGCCTTGATGCTGATGGAGTTGCCTCACCATCGGTGGAATCTGGGTGTAATCATCCCTCTCCTCATCACAGATAAACACCGCGGCCCACTGCGCGTCTGAGCACGCCACAAATTCCGCAGCTCTCCCTCACGCGCTTGGTCTGACGCGCAGGAGGAAACAACTGTGAAGTTTGGAGCTGAACGCGGAAAACAGTTCAAAGCGTTTGTGTGACTCTCCGGTCATGGCTGCTTCACCAGCCCTCATAACTTCACTGTTTTTGTTTATCTCTGCGTCAGACGTCTGCGGTGAGTTTCTCTTTTCTTTATTTTCCCCTGATGATGCGCATTTTAAACAGAGGAAAACGTGCTTTATGTCATCTAAATTACAGCGGAGTTATTTATTGTCTTAATATTAAAAACATATAACGGATTCTGGAACAGCACGCCTGCTAGATCTGCTCTGTCTCTCCACCTCCTTATAAGGGAGTAAAACAGCTGGGATGCGTCTCCCAGGGCGAGGTGACTTCCTAGTGTTCCTAGATGTAGAATTGCTTTTTCAACTTTACATCGTTACATTTGAGCGTTTCAACAGATCAAATGTGATTAACTTTTGCAATGTTTTGCTAAGAATGCCCACTTGAATTGACTGATGACATGAGCTGATGTATTTATTTAGTTTCTTAAATATAGCAACTGAGTGAGTCAGCAAAAACAGTGTTGGTTTAAAGGAGCACCTGAGACACTGCCCATAAGAAATGTCTCATAAACTGGTCAAGCATTCGATCCACTGGAACTTCTGAGGAAGAAGATTGTTGCAGATAATCCATAAACATCGTTCCAGGAGATAAAATTTGTGTTTCAAAGCAGTGGTTCTTAACGTCGGGGTTGGGATCTGACTGTAGGTCTTGAAATACAAGGTTCAAGGTCCTGAAGTGATATTTAAAAGAAAAATGAAGCTGAAAAGTATTTGTTATATTTTCATCATAACCGATGTAAAATAAAGCCCTAAACATAAGTCACATAATGTGTAGAGTTCTTATTATGTTTGTTTGTTCAGATTTTTTAAGATGTTTGTAAAGTTGGATTGCCAGCACACATAGGTGGGCACCATATGGAACCAATGGGTCCCACCAGGTTTTGTCTACAGTTTCCATGATGACCCCTCAAGGGTTTGCCCAAAAAGATCTTTGCCCACATGGGCCCTTCATGGGTTTTCAGAGGGCTTAGAATGTTTGTGGGCAAACCCCTGTGGGGCCACTGTGGAAACTGCGGACAAACCCTGGTGGGACCCATACAGCTTGACCATGTAGTTCCATATGGGGCCCACCTATGTGTGCTGGCTGGTTAGATCAAACGCTGGAAAGCCAGGGAACCACAGGAAAAATACAATTCTGTTTATTACTTAAAACATGTTGGCTAACTCGATAATGCATCAATAACGTGGCTGATTGCTGTCAATTTATTTACTCATTTATTCCTTAGATTGATATAATGTATCCTTTGGCAAGCTGCATGAAAGAAGAGAAACAGGAAATGTTGTATTTATTTTTAAACTTGAACTTGAAGGGTTTATAGTTCCTTTTGTGTGAGATCAAGTAAAATCCTGCAGCTGAAATGATGGCCTCGAGCACATCTATCAGATGCTTCAACTTGTGCTTTATTGTGCGAACTGTTCATGTGATGTAATGGTGCACAGCGGTTTATTACCTTCTTCACAGGTTCCAACGTTTGCACATCGCGAGGGGTCACCACTTGTAAAGAATGCCTTGCTGTGGATCCTTCATGTGCATGGTGCTCCCAGGAGGTAAAAGAAAAAACTTCAATCAAAAGCAAACCCTTAAAGGGTCGGAGTGCCCCTCCCATTCATAGTACACTGAAGCAAGTTACAACACAACCCCAACAGCACTTTTCTTCTTGTGTTAGTGACAACACCAGTGAAACCAGGAGGAAAGGGCTGCTGCGTTGACACGAGTGTTTGACAGAATGTGTGTGTTTGCTTTTAGGAACTTGGGATTAAAGGATCTGGTGTTTCTCGCTGTGATCTTAAGGAAAACCTGATAAAAGAGGGATGCAATACAGCTGCTCTGGAGTTTCCTTCTAGCTCCGTGACCATAGTACAGGATGATCCGCTGAGTGATAAAGCATCAGGTACAGATGACGTCACTCAGGTCAGGCCTCAGAAGCTCCATATGGAACTAAGATCAGGTATGTTAATGCTAACTACTCCAGCTGAGGATAGCAGTTGTGAGAATCACACAAATAGTACCTTTCACAAAGTTTGCTGCCTCCGTGTCTATGAATTGCAACTAATAACAACGTTTCCCATTTCCACAAAAACTTTATTATCCCAGAAAAGCCTATTTTCACTGAAGGAGGGTTCCCAAGAAAATCCAGGAAGCGCCAAGACCCTCTCCTAACGCAAAGCTAGCCAGAAGTTTGAGTTACCACCAGTCCAGAGTTGCTTAGGACGACTAGCAGGCAGGTCTGCAGCAGGGTGAGGGGAAGATTCTTAAAAGGTGGTTTAGTGTCAAAAAGGACGGCAAGAAGCCACTTCTCTCCAACTACACATCAGGGACAGACTGGTGTTCTGCTCAAGGATGGCTGAGGACAGGCTGAAAAGTAAATCCCTCTGAGGAATCCCATTGGTCACATGGGAGAGGGGTTGCTTCAAGGATGATGCCACATGCCGTGAGGTTATTCCATCCATCCATCCATTGTCTGAACCCCCTTTGTCCACGTAGGGTAGCGCGCGGGGGAAGGGGGGGGGGTGGGGGGCGCTATGTCCAGCGGTCAATGAGCAATCAGGCGGGATACACCCTGGACAGAGTGCCAGTCCATCGCAGGGCCATGAGGTTATTGTCCGAAATAAATGGCTCAGGGAACAAAACATCTAAATGTTGGATCTGTTTCCAGAACAGTCCCCAAACAGCAGTCCAACTGAGACACTCCTGTGAGCAATCATCAAGATGCAAGTGGTCAAACCCTGAACTTGAAAATAAATTATGACAACTTCCAAACATCGAGTTTGCAAAAATTGGCTGCCACCAGTCAGGATTTGGACCAGAGGTTGACTGTCCGCATGTAGGGGGGTAAACCGAAGAAGAACCAACATTGATCATGTGACATGTTACATGGACTTCATGCAACGGTCAACAAAAGCCTACTTTAGAAACTATTAAAATCATCCAACAAATAAATCTAAAAGCAGAGAATTGTTGTGAAAACCAATGTTGTGTCACCCCCTAAAGTTTTCCACAATAATGACATTACCAGACCTGTTTTCTCCCTCGTAGGAACTTATTTAAAAGACAGCTGGATGAAAGTCGACACAGACCAGTGACTCTTTTGTTTTCCTGTCAGGTGCTTCTAAACGCTTTACAGTGACAGTGAGACAGGTGGAGGATTACCCTGTGGACCTCTACTATCTGATGGACCTCTCATATTCAATGGAGAACGACTTGGAGCGTCTACGCACTTTAGGCTCAGAACTTGCAAGCACGATGAGAAAGACAACGAGCAATCTGCGAATGGGCTTTGGGGCCTTTGTGGATAAAACCACTTCTCCGTATATGTACATGTACTCTCCAGAGGTCATTGCCAACCCTTGTTATCCGTACGTATTGTTTGGATTCTTTGAAAAAGAGAAGTAAATGAAATCCAGCTTAAAATGTGGCTCTGATCAACCCTTTTACTGCTTTTGTTTACAAACAGAATTGGTACCACATGCCAGGCTCAGTTCGGTTTCAAAAACGTGTTGTCGCTTACAGACCAGGTGGCTCGCTTCACAGAGGAGGTGAAGAAGCAGACTGTGTCTAGAAATAGAGATGCTCCTGAAGGTGGACTCGATGCTGTCATGCAGGCTATTGTGTGCAAGGTATAAAAAGATGACCTGTCACAGCAGTTTCTTTACCTTACAGTAGTTCTTGTCCCACATATTTCTATCCATCCTTCTTAGGAGAAGATCGGCTGGCGCCCTGATGCCTCACATCTCCTGGTGTTAACCACCGATGCCAAAACTCACACCGCTCTGGACGCACGATTCGCTGGCATCGTTCAGCCCAACGACGGACAATGTTACCTTGACAGTAACAACCTTTACAACAAATCTGCTGTTCTGGTAAAGTATAAAGATGAAACACATTTAGTTTCATGATGCTTTTGAACCTGTAAACAAACAATATCCCGTGTTTTCCAGGATTACCCTTCACTGGGGCTAATAATGGACAAGATGACTGAAAACAATATAAACTTAGTTTTTGCTGTGACCAGTTATGTTGTTCCTCTTTACAAGGTGAATAAAATCTACCGCCTGAAATCATAATCAAGGGGAAAGAAAAAAAAACTTGTTGAATCATTGTGGTGTCTCTATGTTGTTTATTTGTCCCTCAGGAATACAGTCAGCTCATTCCTGGCTCAACTGTGGGATTGCTGTCAGATGACTCTGGGAATGTTATTCAGCTGATTGAGGAAGCCTATGCGGTAACAACTTCCTAAAGTTTGGAAAATACGAACTGCATGTGTGATGAAATGTCGGACTGAAATGTTAATGTTTTGGTTTGAGCAGAAGATTCGCTCTAAAGTGGTGCTGGAGCTGGTGGGCGTTCCAGATGAGTTAAATCTGTCCTTCAATGCTACTTGTTTAAACGGAGAAGTCATCCCTGGACTCAAGTCCTGCTCTGGCTTGAAGATCGGGGACACGGTAGGTGATGGAAGAAGGCGTTTCTGTGTTTGGTGGACATTTCTTATCGGTGAAATTTCCTCTCTAGGTGTCTTTCAGTGTAGAAGCTCAGCTGCGTGCCTGCCCCCAAGACAAAACACGCACTTTTACCATCAAACCTCTGGGCTTCAAGGATTCACTGGAGATCACGGTTGACTTCGCCTGTGGCTGTGATTGTGAGGCGAAGTCGGTGCCCAACAGTCCGGTCTGCAGCAGTGGTAACGGAACCTTTGAGTGTGGAGTGTGCCAGTGCCACGAGGGTCGAATGGGGCCACGATGTGAGTGCTCGATGGAGGACTACAGTCCGTCAGAAGACAACAGCTGCGTTCCAAAAGGAGGCAGTTCAGCATGCAGTGGAAGAGGCGACTGTTTGTGTGGACAGTGTTCCTGTCATGCAAATGACTTTGGTCAGGTGTGGGGGAAGTACTGCGAATGTGACGATTTCAACTGCTTACGCTTCAAAGGGGCTCTTTGCTCTGGTGAGTAGAACCTTCTCCTGTCCCTTAAGCACTTTTTACAAGACACACCTTGCCGGCAAATTGGCGTAATAGTACCACAACGGCGAGTCTTATAAATGCGCCACGACTGCATTGCGTTGTGTGAATTTTGCGGCATTTGTTCTGCCTCACTTGGTACTAATATCGCAGTAATTGTCTGCCTTGTGAATAGCAATTGCGCCTTGGCGCAGCAGAGGGAGGTATCATGATGATGTAGGTAGTTAATACTGAGCTCTGGTGTTCCGGGAATTTCTCCTACCCCGTAAACCGTCCTACCCGTTGTTACTGAGCATGTGCGCGCATGCGCACAACACATAAAGGGAATGTTACTCCGCTGTCATATTTGCAGGAAAATAGATAAGTAGTAAGTATTAGTACTTTTTATTGACGTTGATACTTGATTTTTTCTGGGTTAGGGTTAGGGTTAGGGTTTGTGTCATGTAAAACACCGTAAAGTTATCCTACTAGGACGTTTTGCCAAAGTAAAGTTAAAGTCAAAGTCCCATTAGTTGTCACATACACAGGTGTGTGTGCGAAATTTGTTCTCGGCATTTGACCCATCCCCTGGGGGAGCGGTGAGCTGCAGACACAGCCGTGCTCGGGAACTATTTGGTGGTTTAACCCCCCAATCCAACCCCTTAATGCTGAGTGTCAAGCAGGGAGGCATTGGGTCCCATTTTTTCAAAGTCTTTGGTATGACCCGACCAGGAATCGAACCCCTGATCTCCCAGCCTCAGGGTGGACACTCTACCACTACGCCACTGAGAAAGTTAGGACATTTTCTCAGAACACCGGCCAGAAATTAAAAGCATTTTGCTTTTTGAAAAAAAAATCAGCTGAAACAGAAAAAGAAGCTGTTTTTGTAGGACCGTAGCGTTTGCAAAACGGGATTTGCCACGACTGTCACACTGAGAGCAGGAGGTTAGGACCCAAGATGCAGAACACCCAGAACGACACGAGGCAGAAGCGGTGTCATGTTCTGTGTCCCCTTGGTCCCCAGCCCCCTCCTGTTCTTCCTCAGGTTCTCCTCATGTGTCTTCTTGTGTTCCTCAGCTCCCTCTAGGCTTCCCTCATGTCTCCTCCTAGTCACTCACTCATAGTTCGTGGTTAGTTTTAGTCCTCCTCACCCCGCTAGTCATTAGTTGTTTATCTTTTTGCCCTTAGTCTTTAAGTTTAGTTATTTAGCGCTTTTGAGATTATGGTTTATCTCCCCCCTGCTTTAGTTCTTCCCCCATTTTGTTATATGAATGCACCTGTCTTCCCTCCAGACCTCACTCCTCACACCTGTCACCTGTTCCCCTGATTGCCTCCCTCTTTGTTAAAAGCCTGTCTTGTCCCTCAGTGTTTGTTGGTTCGTTGTCATATTGTCTACGTTGTTCGTTCCCCTCTCGAGTATTTCCAAAGTCTATGCTCATGTGTGAGTTTTGTTTGTTTTTCGAGTCTTCAGTTTGTTTTTGAAAGTTAATCTTATTTTTGTGCCGTGGATTTTTGCACATCCTCCTTAATAAAGGAATTGTTTTCTTTAAAACCTCTCCTGCCTTGAGTCGTTCTGGGATTTCTGCATTTTGGTTCCAACCTCCTACTCTAAACGTGACAAGCGGATGTAAAAATAAAAATTCCTTTTATTAGGATGGGGAGTTTGGTGGCAGGAGAATCTCGTCTCTGCTTTTTGCGGATGATGTGGTCCTCCTAACTTCATCCAGCTCTGACCTTCAGCTCTTGCTGGGTAGGTTCGCGGCCGAGTGTGAAGCGGCTGGGATGAGGATCAGCACCTCCAAATCTGAGATTATGGTTCTCGACCGGAAAAGGGTGGCTTGCCAACTCCGAGTCGGGAGAGAGGTCCTACCTCATGTGGAGGAGTTTAAGTATCTCGGGGTTTTGTTCACGAGTGAGGGTAGGAGGGATCGGGAGATCCACAGTCGCTCCAAAGGGATTAGCGGGGCTGAGACGCGTTTAGCCCTCAGAGGCGAGGGGCTCATGCAGCAATATTACTACGAGTCTAAAGCGCATCAGAATCGAGTTTTATCACCTTTCCCCTTTGCTCCTTGCCGCATTCACGAGACCCACAAATTCGGATTTATCACTCTGTAATGACGCGATGGTCGGTCTTATAAAAGAGGCTATAGAGTGCTGCAGCGCTCATTGGAGCTTCTCATCGTTAGAGCTGGAGGTCAGATCACCAGAGACTGCACGGGGACTATGGAGGACAGACACCTTTAGGAGCAGCTTGTGAAAAAACTTAATGAGCCTGGCTTCAATTGCAATAAAAAGCAAGTCATGTCCAAGATAAAAAAAAAAAAGTCTGCTGCAGTGCAGGGACCCCTCCCATACCCCCTTCATGATGCCATCACCTAAGCGCTTACAAACAGGACATGATTGCGCCACATTAGCGCCACGGTCTGACCACTTATAAACAACGCCACGGCCTTGCGGCAAATTGACGGCATTGTGTTGTAAAAACGGCATTAGTGTTACATGAAGACTGAGATGTGTGACGATGAATGATAAATGAGGCACATCTTCTAAGTGATGAGACATTAAACAGGCAATCTAAGACGATTAATGTTGAATAGATAAACATAAAAAACTTTCATCATGGGGCCCATAGTAAGGTGCCCTTTAGACCAAGAAGTGTGTGTGTGTGTGTGTGTGTGTGTGTGTGTGTGTGTGTGTGTGTGTGTGTGTGTGTGTGTGTGTGTGTGTGTGTGTGTGTGTGTGTGTGTGTGTGTGTGTGTGTGTGTGTGTGTGTGTGTGTGTGTGTGTGTGTGTGTGTGTGTGTGTGTGTGTGTGTGTGTGTGTGTGTGTGTGTGTGTGTGTGTGTGTGTGTGTGTGTGTGTGTGTGTGTGTGTGTGTGTGTGTGTGTGTGTGTGTGTGTGTGTGTGTGTGTGTGTGTGTGTGTGTGTGTGTGTGTGTGTGTGTGTGTGTGTGTGTGTGTGTGTGTGTGTGTGTGTGTGTGTGTGTGTGTGTGTGTGTGTGTGTGTGTGTGTGTGTGTGTGTGTGTGTGTGTGTGTGTGTGTGTGTGTGTGTGTGTGTGTGTGTGTGTGTGTGTGTGTGTGTGTGTGTGTGTGTGTGTGTGTGTGTGTGTGTGTGTGTGACGACTCACCACTGTTGCAGTTCTGACTTGGTTCAAGTTAGCAGGTCCTCTGGGAGTTCCTGTTGGCCTGGGGGCACCGAGCAAACGCCTGCCCTGCCTGTCAGCATGCAGCACCTCCGGTGGTACTCAAACCACTTTTGCTATTGGCTCAGCAGTGTGGTTTATGACATACAGACACAGGCCATTAAAACAGTATTGTAATAGAAGAACTTCAAATCGTCACAAATTTATTTACCCTAAAGACAAGTAGGCACACTGTATGTTGCTGGTGTGAGCATTTACACTCACTTTAATTGGGTTCTTTAGCAGTAGAAGTAACCAAACCAAGCTAAATGAACTAATTTTGTTGTGAGGTAATATGACTTGTAGTCTGTTGTTTGGCACACTAGTCAGCAAACATTAAGCTGCCTTCCTTCCTTTTTCCTCCGGTTGGGCCTCCCCTCACTGAGCTTTATCTTCTGCGCTTCCTCTGCCCTCTACTAAACACAACTTGATTAGTTTATATAATTTTTATTACTGGGCTTGAAAATGAAACTGCTTTAACAAGACTCAAGTTTCTATATGCCTGTGGGATTTACTTGTCTGCATGTAAATAATGACCTACAGGCTAAAATGCTAATATTTAGAAGGGGCCAGTATACAGATTTTTACATGGTCACAGAACACACTCAGTCATGGCTGCCAGATGCTGTGCTGCTTGATTGGCCTTAGGTTGTCAAACCACTGTGCTCTGCTCCATTTTGCTCAGGAAGACATAAAAGGTGATGTGGTAATTTGCTGGAGCAGCAGTTTTATTGTTAAGATAATTGAGCATTACCAATATAGAACTGTTACTTTGAGTCAGAACGGCCATCCAGTTTTTTCTGTCTTTTGTCCGTAAGGGAACTTGCAGAACTTGTTGGTGAATAAAACTGTTTTATTGTTTTTAAAATTCAATTCAATTCAATTCAAGTTTATTTATATAGCGCCAAATCACGACAAGAGTCGTCTCAAGGCCCTTCACATAATAAACATTCCAATTCAGGTCAATTCATTAAGCCAATCAGAAAAAAAATGTTTCCTATATAAGGAACCCAGCAAATTGCATCAAGTCACTGACTTGCCAGTGTCAGTGACTTTACAGCAATCCTCATACTAAGCAAGCATATAGCGACAGTGGACAGGAAAACTCCCTTTTAACAGGAAGAAACCTCCAGACGATCCTGGCTCAGTATAAGCAGCCATCCACCACGACTCACTGGGGATCGAGAAGACAGAGCAGACACACACACACACACACACACACACACGCACGCACGCACGCACGCACGCACGCACGCACGCACGCACGCACGCACGCACACACGCACACGCACACGCACACACATGCGCACACACACACACCAAGCAATGTGTCCATGGTTACACCGTGATTGCTTAGTATATATTCTATTTGGTGAAAGATAAACTTTATTGTATTTATCCTAGTGGATCTATAATTAAACAGATAAACTAGAATTAGCACATCCAACGTCAAGGAAAGCAAAACGTTATTATCAAGAGAGGGAGAAAGTTTAAGTGGTTAGTAGCAGTGTGCTAGACGACGGCCCCCTCCATGAGGCCACGACAGCTCAGCAGAACATCACCATAGCTTCTTCTGGGGAGAAAAATACTTAGAGAAAAAATAAAGTTAACAGCTGAAATAGCAGGAAATAATACAGTTAAAGAGCAGATTGTAGAAGAAAGTTGTAGAGTGTGAAAACTGGTCAGTGTATCCTCCAGCAGTCTAAGCCTATAGCAGCATAACTACAGAGATAACTCTGGATAATCTTTCCTATTTAGATGGAGGCATGTTGGAGGCAGGGCAAGGAAGAGCCGTCTTTACCGACTGTACACTACACCTCCCTCC